AAGTGCCAGGAGCTGGGGCAGCCATTGCTGGGCTGGGAGAGTGAGTGAGGGATGGGCCTGGCCTGGGTGATTCACCCAAATTGATTCAGGATAGTGATTTGAATCACCGGATCAAATCACTGTCTCCCGAATCGGCCAAATCCGAAGCAAATTCTAGCCGCTTCGCACAGGCCTACATGGAACACAGGCATGCTGCACAGACAGTGCTGGCCAAAAATATTCAGAACTCAAGCACATGCTCACCATTAGCAGAATGACCACATAAGAAGATATCACATGCAGAAGAACTTTCCAATTCTTCCGAGATGATATATTTTTAAAAGGTTCTTAAATACAGAAGAAACATGATATGGCCATAGAATATTTTTCCATTTCAGCTGTTATTGAACAAACCCAAGAGAATAGCTCCTGGATGTCAGGGGTATAACTAGGACATCCTGTGGTCAGGACTTGACCCTAGAGGGTGACACCAGGTGATCAGGGACAAATGGTCAGGGAAGCAAGGGTCCCAATCAGAATCAAGGGATCAGTAGGTGGATCAGGAGCCTGAAGTTCGTAAAAGGGCCAACATGCAGAAAGAGTCGCCCAGGATAGAACTACAAGCCAGGAGGAATCAGGAACAGGAAACAGAGATCCACACCAGGGTCACTAGCCATCTGATCTGGATTAGGCAAATATAAAATAAACAGTAGGTATCAATAGCACTATTTCCCAGATGGAGAGACTGATGCAGAAATTAGTGATTTCCCATTCAGTAATGACTTGGTGGGTATCTGGAAACAGAATCATTAAAGCCCAGTGACTATCATCTATTTTAATACAAGTAAAATAATTGTAAGTCACTTTATGGTATATAATCCTAAAGAATTAGTTCAAATCTATATGTGAAAAGAGAAGTATATTAGACATACCAATATCTGGTACATGAACCATTCTGACTGGCAACTGCCTGGCCTTCTCAAGAAAGGAACTATGAAAAGTGCAAAAAACAATCAATTCAGTTCCATGCAAAGGAAGACGTTTGCTAAACAACTCAAAGTGGTTGGTACAGCTCTGGAACAGATAATACAAGGTAATTGTTTATGTGCCTGTAATTACTCCCAGAGTAAGTGAAAACTAGACCACGACAATGTAGCTGAACGAAGCAGAGCTAAGTTGCCATGGGTTAATTGTGGCACATCAGCAACTACTGCACTTCAGCTGTTTCACATTAAGTCCTTTCCCCATATAAACTTGCTTTAGTATTATGATTATTTTTCCATATACACATAAATAACATAATTCAATCAAAAGCTGATCAGGGAAACCACCTGGAATAAAATCTTTCAACACATGGAATTTCTTCTCCCAGTAATGTCTGCACACTTACCAGTAAGTTAGGATGCCAAAACAATCACATACTAGACCCAAAACTGAAGAGTAATTTCCTTGTCTAAAAACACACATCAGAACAACACCATCTGACAGTTTGTTAACAACTCTTTCTGAATAAATTCTAGCTGCATGTTTATTTTCAAGAGTGTTATTGTCTTCTCTAGAATTAATGCTTTTGTCTAGAATATATATTCAAGGTTTAATTTGGAGTGAAAAAGCACCCTTCCAAACTCTGCCCACAGAATACCAGCCACCCAACATCTCAAAAGAAGATGCCACTGACACTAGAATATAAATAAATCCAAAATATAATTTAGCATACCTTGTCAGGTTTAGCTCCTTCTTGACCGGTAGAAAAATCATGTTGAGAGAGCTAGCATCAGAGATGGTGTTACTGTCTTCCAAGTTTTCTCTGAGAAAGAGGTGCTGGTATTGGGTTTAGACCTCTGAAATGATTATCTGCAGCCTATTTAGTTTTCTTTGTTCTATGACTGATATAGGCCTAGATAAAATAAGCTTAAATAAAGAATGCGACTAGATTCTGTATCCCCAGTTTCTCCCACCATAAAACTGACTTTCAAGGCCCTGGACACGTTACCACAAGTAATGGCATTCTTGCAAGTACCCCTCTGTTGGCACTGGATTTATGACCTAGATACCTTGTTTCAAGCGGACCCAAACCCTCAGACCAACCACGACCTCTCCATTCAATAACAGACAAGTGTTATTGATACACAGTGATACCAGATTAGAATAATGCAAACAATTCTACAGCTACCAGTCCTATAGCTGTCATAGGGTCAAGGTACATCTGGCCAGTACACTAGCTTCACCCTGATGTTCTCTCTTGAATGTCAGATGACAGCAGCCTGGAGATTGAAGTCTGAGGTGCACCAACCACCCAGTGGGGTGAGTGAGATGGGCTGGTGATATACACCCTCCGTCTATGGTGGCCTCAGGTTCCCTTCTCAGAGACCCTTTCCTGCTCTGAAATTCCTCTTTTTGTATCTTCTTCCTCCTCTGATGACCCTTCATCTTTGGGCATCGACTGGTCCTCTGTCATCACATACTGTCCAAGTTCTGTCCTGCCAGCATATTCCTTTGTTTTACAAACTCATCACCTGCACACATCCTAATCTGGGCTTTTACTGGTTTCTCCTAATTTGATCTATTCCCCCAAAACCAGAAATTCCAAGGGCTCTGCAACTGGGCACTGTGACCTGGCCAATGCAGCAGAGTCCCTTATCTCATGTTATGGAAAAGGATGGTATATGTCTTCAGTTTCCCAGCCTGTGCATCTGCTTGCTTCTTGGCTGTATCAGACACATTGAGCTTCGAAGGAAACCGTCACAAACAGGCTTTTAGAAATCAATTACCCCTTGCCATTTCCCTTGGACCATTGTTCTAATACTTATCTACTTTACCTACAAGCCAAATCCTAAAAGCAAAATTTCTAAATACCATTTTCTAGCCATCACTCTCCTGGTGACAAATTAATATGATGTGATGTACAGGAGCTCATGCTGGTCTGCATAACCTTATCCTCAATTTTCTCACATGCTATTTCAATTTCAAATGTCATTAATTACATCATTGGTCACCACAGGGCATTAGAATCAACATTTATTAAAATGAACAAGGGCCCCTTGCCCCTTTTGTAAAAAGCTACTATTTCAGGCTCTCTGCAAACTCAGACATCACTCAGAAGTTATTTACACTACAGTAACTGTAATTCTTCAAGATGTTTTGTCCATGCAAAGTTCACTCCCTGTATGAATTAGCCCCATACACGAGATTAGTGTACGTACATACATACACAACCCCCCACCTGTGTTCACACCTACATCACTCACATCAGGGATCACTACAGCCAACAGTACAAAAACAGCCCAAGGTACCCTTGTTTTCTTTTACCCAAAAAGAATCCCAGGTCTTGGGGCTTCTATTAGTAGGAAAGGAGAGCTGGGATAGAGCGAGGTTTTGGGAAGAAAGCAGATGAATGCTTTTAACTGAAATAACAAAGACCAAGACCATCTTCAGCAAGAACTTGGGTGGTGTCCCCGAAAGGCAAGTATTTCCTTATAACACAGAGTGTGTGAAAGTTGCACCATGGGCACTGTATTTTGCTGTCTCTTCTAGCTGAGGTAATAGCTATAAAGAAAGCAACTTTCAAGTGATGATAAAGAAAGAAGAGTTTGCCCAGGAATCTATTAAGTCCATTAAGGTTGGCAGAACCAGACAGTTTCCAAAAGGTAGAGGCTCGCTATCTGGGAGAAAAATGTTTCGCCCTGTAGAAATTTCAATCCTGTGAGATGTATAACACCTTGAATTTCTTCCACCACCAAAATGACCTCAAGGTATATTCCAATGGAGCTGCTAGAGCACAGACCATTACAGAGAAGTCGAGAATAGCTGGAATTCAACTGGATCATGGTAAAAGTTGCCACTGGGTTTCCCAGATAAGTCTTTTCCACCTTTTTGCATGCATTTGTCTGGTTGAAGACTTCCTGTTTCACAGGAGAATATATCTTGTACTTCGTAAGCATCATCTCTCTTCAGAAGAATCAACCGACCAATAAGTTAGTCAGATGCAATAAAGCTGGTTCTGTGTACATCATTAAATTCTGGTACTGAAATAGCATGTAGGAAGAAGTGGTCAAATGATTGGTGGGTTGGCTGAGAAACTCACACACTCTAAGTACCACAGCTATCCATATTATTTGGGATTACTAAAATAAGACAGCCCAAGTCCTGTCTGAGCTCCTGATCACTCTATAGATCATAGGAATTGATGGAAAGATGTAAAATTGCCACACTGCCCACAGAAAAAGAAATGCATCTGGGTCCAGGCCAAGATTCTTGTTGTTCTGGCAGGTTTACAGTCAGGAATCCCAATCTACAAACCATGCTATGAAAGCAGGAATTGCTGAAGAACCAAAAGGTACTGTTGAGACAGTTTGGGAGTGGGGAGACTGGGCAGATGATGAACTACAGATAAAGGGCAAGTACACACCATTTCCAGAAATTTGTCAACTCTTGCATAGTAGGGAGGATTTTGCTCTGGAGAAACATATTTCAAAATAGCAAATATAGCAAATCAGATTTAGGTTATAACTTGAAGAAAAACTGCATGCCTAGGAAAGTTGTGGGTCTCCTTCACAGTTGATTTCAAGAGGCTGGATAGGCATATATCTGGTATGTTTATGAAAAACAGATCCTGTATCTGCACAAGTGATTAAACTAGATAACCCTATGGATTCAGTGCTATCCTTAATTGAGTGAAGGGACTGTTACCACCTGTTTATTTTTCAGGGCTGGGATGCAGTAAGAGAGTTGAAGCTGCGGGTAACAGTTCAAAGAGCCCAATAAAGTCCAAGTACTAGGCAAACGATGGCGATCTGCAACGAAATCCCCAACTGAAGGGATGTTCTTCTCACAGAAGACACTGAAGAGTGTGGTCTGTGCAAGGAGGACGTCAGAAGCACAACCAGCTAGTACCACGGTAGAGGGAGAAGAAACGACAGAATCTCTTTGAAGGCTGAACCCAGAAAAACACATTTTTTCCCAACAGGAATAACTTCATCCTTTCCACACTGTTCTCAAAAGGATGTCTTGAAGTTTTAGCTCATTTACATATCCCTTTCAAGTACATGAGACAGGCTGTCCATTGTCAATGCGAATGATGGGGTGGCTCTAGAGAAAAATCTTGAAGCCATGCAACTTGGAATCCACCATGTGGTACCCTCCTATACAAGGTCAAGGCAGCCTGGCTCAGGAAACTCCTGAAGTTAGGTAAGAGAACTCTCCCTTTCATTAGGCTATATAACAAAGATTAAAAACAAAAATAAAGCTAAAACAAACTAGATGAAAGGTCCAAATATGTAACTAGAAGATGTAGCTATGTCTTAGGGACACGGACTGTGCTGGTTCTCCATCTCAAACTACAGGCTTTATGAAGAAAAGGAGTGGCACATGTGCCACTTTTTAATATCCTTAGCTACAGTGCTCAAATTGATGTGCAAGGCACAAGTGCAGCTACACTTCCCTGCAACAGATACTGCTGTTCAAACAAAGCCTGACCTCACATGCGTGGATGAGAGGGAAATCTGCGTGGACTACCGCCAAAAAATAAATTGATTACACTTGATACATTAAGTTTCCTTCACAATGGCAAAAGGCTAGGAACTTTTGTTTTTTTTAAGTGGTAAACTTTGGTCCGTGGAGCCAAGGTAGATGTCATCTACCTGGACTTTAAGAAGGTCTTCAACACAGTTTCACATCCTATTCTCATAAGGAAGCCAGCAGGCTGTGGAGTGGACGCTTACAGTCAGGTGGGTGGCCAACTGGCTTACGGACTGCACCCAGAGAGTGGTGGTGGATGGGTCACTTTCAGCCTGGAAGGAGGTGGGCAGTGGTGTCCTGCAGGTTTTGGTCCTTGGACCTGTGCTATTTAATATCTTCATCAGCAATTTGGACGAGGGTGGGAGAGCACCCTCTCCAAGTTCACAGATGACACCAAGTTATGGGGCAAAGTTAACACACCAAAGGGCAGGGAGGGGATACAGGCTGATCTGGATAGGTTGGACCAATGGGCAGAATGCAACAGGATGCAATTTAACAAAGACAAATGCAAGGTACTCCAACTAGGGAGAAGGAATCCCCAGCACACCTATAGGCTGGGGGATGACCTCCTCAGCAGCACAGCGGTTGAAAGGGATCTTGGAGTCACAGTGGACTCCAAGATGAACATGAGCCGGCAGTGTAATGAAGCCATCAACAAAGCCAATCACACCTTGTTGTGCGTTAGCAGATGCATGACCAACAGATCGAGGGAGGTGATGCTTTCCCTCTATGCTGCACTGGTCAGGCTACAGTTGCATTACTGTGTCCAGTTTTGGGTGGGTGCCGCACTTCAAGGAGGGGTGAGGAGAATCTGGAGAGGGTTCAAAGGAGGGCAACGCGTATGATTAGTGGCCTCCATGCAAGACCCTATGAGGGGAGGTTGAAGGATCTGGATCTCTTCAGCCTTCACAAGAGACAGCTGAGGGGTGACCTTGTAGCCACCTATAAGTTTATCAAGGGAGGACAACAGAGAATTGGAGATGCACTATTTACCAGGGCACCCCTAGGAATAACAGGTACAAACTAGTGGAGAGTAGATTTAGGTTAGACATTAGGATGAAATTTTTCACAGTAAAGGTGGCCAAAATCTGGAATAGGCTGCCAAGGGAGGTGGTAGTCTCACCTAACTTGGAGGTCTTCAGGAAGAAGCTAGATAGACACCTGGCTGGGGTCGTACAACCTCAGCGCTCTTTCCTGACTGGGGCAGGGGGTCGGACATGATAATCCTTCGTGGTCCCTTCTGACTCTACAATCTATGAATCTATGAGGCAAGGACCATTTTTAGTTCAATGTTTTATTGCACCTTTATTGTTTTATTGTCCTAGTCCTTTACTAGGGCTGTTAGATACTTCCACAATATAAATGAAAAGGTGGAAGTTTAGACTCTTGTAAACACAAAAAAGCTGCTTGAGTTGTTTTTATGAACATACACCCCAATATGAGCCTTGACAACAGTGTTTCAAGCTAAAACTTAATTATTAGGTTATTTATCTACATAGTGTTCACAGGTTTCTTTTAAGTTAAAAGTTAGCCTTGGATTGTTAATAAAAGTTATATTCCATAACATGAAAACACTTTTAAAAACGTGTGTGTTGATTTCAACTCCAGTGTTAATACATGTTAAGCATTGTATATTTTGATTACAGGACATTTGTCACTAATCAAAAAATTCAATCCCAGACTGCTTTAATAAACTTTTGCCATCACTGATTTTATTACATATGCAAAGTTACATATGCAATCAGTAAAATGACTAAGTTGTTTTAAACAAACTTTGTGACAAAAACCAGTCAGAAAAACAAATTAAATCATATAAGGATGAAAGACCACTACTGCCAAAACATTCTTTCACATGAAAGCTGCGTTGCCTATGCCTACATTTAGATCTAATATACACCTTCAACATTGTACCTGGGATTTCCCAGTATTTTTTCAAAAAATAAAAAATAAAAAAGCCACATTCTGTATTCTTCAACTGGTAAAGAGGCCTATTACAGGGATTCTATTAAATTTCTCTACAACAACTATTCTCTATGGCAAAAGTCCTGTTCAATAGCAACATCTAGTGGCCAGATATATTCCTAAAAAAATCCTCTCAACCTGTCCCTTTTCCTTTGCTGCTCCCAATCCCCACACAAGAGTTATGCAACAGGTAAGAAAACCTTTACATTAATCCACTAACCTTCAACAGTGCCTTGTTACACTTCAAAGATATAAATAAAATCTAGTTCCAATTTTTGCATAATGCTTTTGAGTTTCTATTTTTACTTCGTTCAAGCATCCCTCCCTACTATATAGTGAAAAATTTGCAAGTTCTAAAAGTAGACAAGCATGCACAAAAAACCCCAGAAAGACTCGTCTATGTTTGTTGGGAAGAAATACCAAAAAGATAAGAATTAACTGCAAAATGAAATACAAAGGTGTGACGAGGATTCTTCAGTAACAGTGTATCACAAGCAGGCAAACAAACCTAATGAATGGTAGCTCTACAACTGATGCAGTTATGAATTGTAAACACCAGTCTTTCATGTTCAAGTTTCTTTGAGACAGAGATAAAACTAGAGTGTTTTATGATAAGCAAAATGTAGCATTTTTATTTGTCCAAATAGGTGCCTTGGTGGCAGTACAGAAAAAAGAAGATCAAGACGTATCTTCAGACTACTTAATCAAGGAGGTTCCAAAGATACCTTGCTTAGATCATAGGGGAATTAAAAAAAACCATACTGAATGGCTTTCTCTGTCAGCTTTACTGACTAGCTGTCAGACCAGTGATGGGTTTTGAGAGGGTTTTTGTGGGGGGAAGTGCGGGGGGAGGGAATAGTAGCATAGAAAGGGAAGTGTTTGGTTGCTGGTGGTGAGATGAGGGGGTTATTTTTATTGTTTTTGGAGGTAGCTGCAGTTGCAGTATCTGCCTATCTGGAAAAATACATACAAAAGCAAATCATCTAGTAAAAGGAACTTATCTACTTGAACAGAAATATTTAGAAGCAGAGTAAAATAGGGAGAGGACAAGGGACTAATGAAAATTAGTCATGACTCTCTCACTCTGCTTTCCTGGCATCTGGCAAACAGTACAACTATCAAACATATAACTTCTCATTTAAAGAATATTCAAAGCAAAGAAGGTTGACAAATGTCATCCTGCAAATGCCTCTGTCAGCAGTATCCTTCTCTTAACTTCAACTGGTTACTTTAAAAAATATGCCTTTAAAATAAAAGCCAAAGAAACCACAGTTTTAAATACAGAAAAAAAAATGACTGTGTTAATCCTATTTTTCTTCTTTACATTCTGAATATGAGAGACTAGAACAACTACTTTTGGAGCTAGAAATTCAAGTATCTGAGGTAAATATCTGAAGAGTTTTTTGGCCTATTGAGAAGTGTCTATCTCATTGTCCTCTTCCTTACCATCCAAGCCAGTTACATCCTGGCTTTCTTCTTTTGCCTTTTCATATTCATGTTCTTTACCTGGTTCATCTTGTGGGAGAACCGAGATCATGCTGGGCCACAAGAAACAATCTGCCTCCAGCACCTGTTCAGCTGTCATTCTGTTGCAGGAGATCAGATTCAACAGCAGGGACTTAACCTTATCTTCCTAAGAGAAAGCAGAAAGGGAGAGAAGATGGGAGCATAGATCAGAAGAATTACTACTACGAGAAACAGAATACACTTGCAACTCAGACCATGAACAAAATGAAGTATTTCATGACTGCTTCTCCCACATGCATAGACCACAGTTATTACACATGCATAAACCAGATATATGGCACTGACCTTGTAAAATTTCAACATTGAGCACATTAAACAAAGGAGGTACTTGGCAAAACTAAACTCTTAACCCTTTAATTCCAGTGGGTATTTCAGTAGAGCAATTTCCCTCTAACATGATATTTTACACTGCCAAATTCCAAGGCAACTGTAAGGAAATAATTTCAACCATTGCTAAAACCCAGGGAAATTCTCAACTTTACGTGCTACCTGAGGCAAAACAGAGTAGTCTTTATGACCCTGTATTACATTCACTTCAGCTACCGTATTTTTCATTCAGAATAAAAATATTTACCAGTAGTTATAGTACTTCAAGACTTGTTGCTCTTCTGCACGTCTATTGTGTGTAACGGGAAAGAGGACAGAATCTACATACGAACAACAGACCTGAAGATACTCCACTTAATGAAAAGAAAATGTATTTCATCTGAGTGCTTGTTAGCATACACTACTATATGCAACTCAGAACCACTGTTCAGTTCCCCTGCAAGAAGTCCCAGAGTCCTTCTCTTTTTTTCTCCAAACTAAATAAGCCCCCCTCTCTCAGCCTTTCCTCACAGATTCTAGGAACTCTATTAGATAACCAAAATTACAAAATTGGGTCTTCAGCATGAGATCAGTCACAAACTCTTCTCTGTTTTGTAGGCTCTAATCTCTCTCTCATAAATTTCATTTCATACTGA